TAAATCGGCAAAAGCCAGGATGATGAGATACCATTCCTAGAGTCAAAGCACAATACAGAACACACAGCAGTTATGTTCTTGACCTAAAAGAATATGCAATTAAGTATGGCACCTTAAGTCAAAACACAAAGCATCATTATTTCATTCACGCAACATCCTTAGAAATCTGGAACTATATGTAGCAGTCTGCTTCTGTATGTACGTGACAACGAATTTCCTTGCCCTTCTTAAACAACAAGAAAATAGAAGTCGTCTGTCGTATACTTTGTCTTGAGCCAAAGTCCAGTTCATTCAGTTCCACATGTTTACAGGGCTTGCCAACTCTAATAACTGGTCTTATCTAATGTACTTACAAAGTCTGAGATTGGTTTTATTTTTCTGCTGTGCTGCAGAATGTCTACGTTGGAAGTGTTACTTCATTTGCGTGGTTTTCAGAATTTCAGTTGCAGGCCCCTATACTCGTACATCTGGAAATTCTAAAATGCATTTACTGACTATCCTTTTGTAAATTATTTAGCAGTTTGAACTCCGAATTTGTGTCAGTCCCTTTTACAGGCTCACACAGCGCACACACACATAAAATTAATTTTGTCCTTGTTATGCTGAATATATATATATATTCACGACCCAATGCATTTGCCAATCCATCCACTTCTGACACGAGTTGTTATATATTAGAGTGACTACCGACAGGGTTTGGATTGGTAATTGGAGTTACTGACCACTTACAACTACAAGTAACTATAGCGCTATCACTAATTTGAACACACTACAGTTCACATACAGCACATACTAAGGCTGAAAACCCACTGACGCGATTAGTCGCGAGCGGCTAGCCGGTCTTTGTCGCGCGCGTCCGTTAGTGCCCTTGTCCACGACAAGAATTCCTGCCGGAACGGTAATTCCGCCGGCCTTGTCCACGGAGACGGCAGGCGCGCGGAAAATATTTCACTCGAGTCGAGGTGAGCCTGTGCACGGGTGCAGTAGAATGGATAATACGGATGTATGCACCCCCATTGCACTATGTCATTTTTACAAAAAGAAACAGAGACGACGCAGAAGGTATTGGGTGCATCCTGTGTTGCAAGACCGATTTAAATTTGGTGCATTTAGTACGCTGCTTGGAAAACTACGACAGGACGACGCAAAGCATGTTAATTTTTTAGAATGTAAAAAGAAACATTTGACAAGTTACTGACAATTTTATCTCCCAGTGTTTCAAAATCTTCTTTAACGTGTGAGCATACATCCGTCCAAGCTTGCAAAGTTAGCCGCCTGTCTTTGTACTCTTCACTTGACTTATCCCACAGTACTGGTCTTTCCTCCACAAGCGTAATTAATAGTTCACAGTCAATATTGAATTCTGCGCTCACTGTAACGAAAAGAATACTACAGACACAAAACACATGAAACTTGCACGCTCAAGACCAACTGATGACTGACGGCGAGCTCGCCGGCTCATGGACACGTAGACATGTTAATGCATGCCCCACTGAGAACACGGCGCACCGTCCGGCTGCCCTCTCTGCAGTGGGAATCAGGTACTGCATCCTGCAGCCGGACCATTAGATTTGCCGTGACGGCTCGTGGACACGTAAACATGTTAATGCATGTCCCACTGTGAACACGGCGCGCTGTTCGGCTGCCGTCTCTTCAGTGGGAATCAGGTACTGCATACGGCAGATTTGCCGTGACGGCTCGTGGACAAACTCTCATATGAAACAATGCATCACTACCAACCCGGTAAATCTACCGGAACGGCAGACGGCGAAAATTCTTGTCGTGGACAAGGGCACTTAGTTGTACATATTAGGCGTGAGACAGCTCTGCCGCCTGTGTGCCGCGTTCCAAAACTTAACCGCGCGCGGCTCATAAAAGCAATACAAATAACGGCCGCGAGCGACAACACTCGACAAACCGCGCGCGGCTTGTCGCGTCAGTGGCTTTTCTCAGTCTGCAGTGTCTTCATGAGTCATTGCCTGGTAACAGCTTACAACGGTGGATGTTACCCTAAGGCTGAAAACCCACTGACGCGACAAGCCGCGCGCGGTTAAGTTTTGGAACGCGGCACACAGGCGGCAGAGCTGTCGCACGCCTAATATGTACAACTAACGGACGCGCGCGACAAAGACCGGCTAGCCGCTCGCGACTAGTCGCGTCAGTGGGTTTTCAGCCTTACTCTGGGTTCCTGAACTTTCCCCGCTACTTGGCTACCAGCTTCTAACAGTAACGACTCACAATTATTGAACTGCAATTTTCTGATTGACTAACTCACAAAGAAACTGTTCACTTCTCTGCACTGCACTGACTGACACTATTTGTCCTGGTTATAACATCTTGGCATGTACTGTACAGAAAACACCATTCGTCTATTGGTTCATCGGTGCATGTTGGGAATCTTTTGCCTATCAGTGGGCGTTGTTTACAGTGTCAGTACTTAGCGACAGGTCTACACGTTACAATATATGTGGTGCAATCCAAAAGTTCCCGAAATATATTAATAAAAACTATTGCGTCTTACCTGGATCTTATCCTGCACCATCACCTTCAAAGTAGTCCCCTTGGGAGCGCATACACCGATCCCAGCGTTTCTGCCACTTTTCAAATGCATCCTGGAAGTCTTTCTTTGTTAGGGTGTTTAGTACCGTCTGCGTTTCCGCTTGAATTTCCTCAACTGTATCAAATCTTCGCCCCTTCAACTTGATTTTCATCTTGGGGAAGAGAAAGAAGTCGCATGGAGCTAAGTCTGGCGAGTACGGTGGGTGGGGAACAACTACCATCTTGTTTTTAGCCAAAAATTCCTGCACAATGTAAGCCGTATGCGGTCGTGCGTTGTCATGGTGGAGTACCCAGTCATTCGTGTGCCACTTCTATGGACGTTTTCTCCTTATGTTCTCCCTCAGATGCCTTAGAACATCGCGATAGAACTCTTTATTGACTGTCTGACCAGGAGGGACGAACTCCTTATATACAATCACGTCAATATAAAAAAACAGATCAACATGGACTTAATGTTGCTCTTGACTTGTCGAGCTTTTTTTGGACGAGGTGAAGAAGGGCTCTTCCATTGCGACGATTGCTGCTTACTTTCAGGGTCGTAGCCATAAACCGAACTTTCGTCACCAGTGACAACCTTCAAAAGAAGTTTGGATCCTCTTGAAGCTGTTGTTAAAGTTCCTTGCAGACTTCCAGGCGATGTTGCTTCTGTTCATTTTGCAGCAGTCGTGGTACAAACTTCGCCACAATCCTCCTCATGTTCAGTTCCTCTGACAAAATTCGTTGACATGTACCATAACTTAGTCCCAAGGTGTTACAGAGTCTTGGATGGTCAGTCTACGATCTTGCAGAATCACATCCCTAACTATCGCGACATTTTCTGGTGTGGTGCCAGTTGACCGCCGTCCCGAACGATCATCATCATCACTCGATGTTTGGCCATTTTTGAAGCGCTTATACCAATCGTAAGTTTGTGTCTGGCCTAAACTGTTGTCACCAAAAGCTTGCTTCAACATTTGGTGCATTTCTGCAGGGGTTTTGCCAAGTTTAAAACACAACTTTATTCAGACATGCTGCTCCCTCAGGTCAGCCATCGCAAAACCGCAAACTCACGGAAACGCAACAATGGAAATACGTTCACCAACAATAAACCCAACCACTTTTTAAAAAAAAGGAGAGAGAAAATGCATCTCTAATTACAGACCAATATCCATATTGACTTCATTCTCAAAAGTCTTTGAAAAAGTTATGTATAATAGACTACTTGAACACTTAAATTCTAACAACATATTAGTCAAAGAGCAATTTGGATTTAGGAAAGACCTGACAACAGAAAAAGCAACCT